AGTAGTAACTGACCGAGGGTGAAGGGTATCATAAATCTTAAACGTATTGGGTTTAAATTCGGTTCATTTCTTTTTTTTTTGGTGGTGCTAAGCGTTACATTTTTAAACTAGTTGAATTTTCAACTGGTTTACTGACTAACGAAAAACAGTTGAAACGTTCCTGGTGGAGAAACGATTAAATAAACTAGTTCGTTGATTCAACGTCCACCACTAGTGGATTGGATACTGTTACGAAATAATAGTTCAAAGTTCAAATACAATCAATGGTTCAGAACTAATACGTAACCTTATAGCTTATACTGAAGATGCAGATTGATTGCACATTGCAGTAGTAGTCTGCTAATGTTAATTTCAATAATTTTACATCGTAAAATAAATAAGCTGTAAATATATAATGCGTCGCACTAAACATTTAGTCTACTAAAATATAAAATGTAATATTAACCTTGCATTTTGGGTAACGGTAGATGTTTTTGATTTTTGATATGAAGGAATGTGGGAAGGGGGTGGAGGAATTCTTTCATTCTTTGTTCTGTATATATAACTCTATTTTCGGAGAAGAAAGCTCTCCATTTGGCTGCCATCTTAAAAAAGAAACTAAACAAGTTTCTTACGATATCTTGAGAACCGAAAGATCCTATAAAAATTTGTTCCTGACATTTTTTGTAGAAAATTGAATTCTATACAAGAAAAATCAAATGGTGCTGTACTGTTCATTGAATGTTGATTGTAATATTGTAGATTTAATATACATACATATTATTTTACTGGGTGTATGGTATAACAAGCGATGTAGTGTCGTGGGACGCAGTAAAGATATTTTGCAAAAAAACTTGACATGGCATCGCCTTTAACTTGTATCTTGAAAAATTATTTACATACTTGTGAACAACTATAAAAAAATAGAAATTTATTTAGCAACGCTGATTTTTCAACCTATCCAAATTTTTTATTTTATAAAAAAAACATGAAAAAGTTATTAATGTTTTACTATATGTAGTAATCGTATTTTTTATGAATTTAGTATGTGCGCAGATATTATGTTACTTAGAAAATGAGTAGGGGGAATTATTTTCAATTAAAAAAACTACAAAAAANATATGATTTTTTATTATAATAATTTTATTTTCTATTTTACGGTAAAAATATCTGAACAAAAATTGCAGAGATTCTACAAAAAAGATATTGCCGGAAATCTGCCACACCCCTTTTTTATAAGGTGAGAGTGATATGGAGGAGAGAGGACTTTCAATCCCGAAAATTGAGTTTTATACTTATAATGATCCCCATGAACATAAAAAAAATAAAGTCGTGTCCTACTCAAAATGCAAAAGGTTCGCTCATAATTTTTTAACTAAATTAAACTTTTATAATTGTATTTTTTACATAAAAAACTTTGTGGGACCTCTCCTCTTTATTGAAATATTTTGGAAAAACTAACACTGTTGCGATTTACTAACTGATTTTCCTTAAGGAAGAGCGTAATTTGTCTTTTAGTCAATTGAATTCACTTCATCGTTTTTAGTACAATTTTTTTGCGTTCTCATGTGAGATTGGAACATGGAAACAGACACATTTTTTTTACTGTAGTTTTTATTAATAACAACAAATATTCAACAGATTTTATTAAACCCGTTTCTAAGTTCTTTGCCAATACACCAACGTATGTTATGAAAAATTCATTTTAAGGAACAAGCAAGAAATACCATATTTGAATTTTTGAATAATGGGAAACCAAAGAAAAGCAGGGAATTTGATTGGGGCGTTAGAATAAATTCTGTGAAAAGTGAACTCTGTCAGAATGATCTTGATGTAATACTAACTGCCCAAAATCTGCCTGATACGATTTCTTTGCCTAAAGTAAACGACACGGAAGAACTAAAATGGGTAAATATAAATAGGTAATAAGAAACTTTAATCTTTTTACCATTAGAGGCTGCATTTACGTTAGATAGAATGATCTACCTATAAAATAAAATTGTAGTTTTTGTGTAGTTTTAAAAATTCGAGATGACTTAAACTCAGACCCTACTTTAACTTTAGTCAATAGACCACCAGAGCTGCAGAATTGTAACTTTTACTGTGTTCAACAGATGGCAGCAAGTTATTTAATTCTAATTCGTCTAATTTTTAAGTTGTTTCTATCCTTAATTATTAATTAACCCACGGGCTAGCTGTCATGAAGGCCGCACAGGAAACTCATGGAGGGCGCAGGTTCCTCACCTCTGAAATATACCATATACCTTATACCTAGGTATTTGCTATTGTGGTAATCTGAAATAAGGTTTCCAAAGGGCACTTGCCTGTACCCAGTTCTAATTTCATATTTGTTAATGTAATAAAGTAAGAAATGTACAATGGTGCGGTCATGTAAGAAAATGTAGCTGGGAACACATCCCTGAAAGCTATAAACAATTTTAGTTTTCAAGCCAACTGGAACGTTTTACTGCTCTCAAAACAAAGATTTCTGTTATTCTGTTCATTGAAACTGCACAAGGAATAATGAATTTGAAAGAAATATGTACGACAGCTAAAAAGCTAAGTGAAAACCGAAATTTTGAACCAGTAGCTTTGGTATTTGGCGGTGATGACTACTTAGCTGATATCGGTAAAATAAATATTAAAAAAATAAAAGAAATTACTAACATAAATACTATTCTGAATTACCTTTAGGCGCAAGAAAAACTGACCAACTTACCGAAGTTTTATATGCACGACAAAAATTAGTAATGATGGCCAAAGCATTTCAGTTACAAGCTATAGACGTGGTTTACATTCAATATAAAGGTAAATAGGCGTGATAAATTAAAATTAGTTAAGCCTATATGTATTTTCTTAGGTGATAAAGCTTTTTAGATTTGGACGGCCTTAAACAACAAAGTATCGAAGGTGCGAATATGGGTTATACCGGAAAGCAGGTAATACATCCTGATCAGGTCCCTGTTGTGCAAGAAGCATTTCTTCCTTCCGAAAAGCAAATAAAATGGGCAAAAGATTTGATTGAAGCGTATCACAAGTATGCGGCCAGCGGAAAGGTTTGATTTTAGACAAATATTTTCACTGTTGAATAGAATTTTAATATGTACACATTCGTATTTCAGGGTGCCTTTAATTTCAACGGAATTATGGTAGATTCTCCCACCTTAAAACAAGCAGAAAATTTAATTAAATTCGTAGAAGTTGTAGGAAAAGATACAAATCAGTAAATAAATGGGTGTATATGAATAAATCATATTTCAATGATTATTTGTTACTTTTAGGTAATAAAACCCCATATCACATGCACCTTCTTTAAAGTCGCTACGTGCTCCAGTATCTTTACCAAAAAAATCGGTTGTCTGTAAAGTCGGTTTACTGACGATAGTTGAACGTGACAACGTCATAAGAAAATACTGATGGAATGGTTTCATTTTACAAAAGAAAATTTTAATTTTATTTGTTTGATAGATATTTTGTATGGATATAGAGAAGGAGGTAAATGGAAATGTATTATTGTATAGCAGCTGTCCACGC